ATCCCACACCTACAGCCCACCAGCAAGAACCGAGTCCCAGGGTAGGAGCCTGCTAATTACAGGCTCCGGCAGCTCTTCCAGTTGCCTGTTATCATCTAGACTAGTGTGATGTGCAGAACAGTAAAACAGAAGGCAGAATCAAAGGAACATAAAGCTACAGGGATCCTTACAGTGTCATCTCGATTCCCACTTGGATCTGCTGCCTTTTAAGTTTTGTGTGTGCTCTGGGGGTGTGGGTAGGGGGCATGCAGGCAGTCCCACTGCCTGGGTTGCTCCAAACCTGCTGCACCATTGGTATCAAGCTGCTACCCAAAGTGGCCCAGAGGTCAAAGGCAAATATCTGGCCCAAGATTTAGGGCAGTCAATAAATTCCTTAATCTGGAAAACAAGTTTAATGTGAGTAGAGGAAAAAAAGAGGTAGAGGAAAACAAGAGTAAGAGACTAGTCTTCCCAAATCTGAAAATCTGAGTCTGTTCCTGTGCCTGTGCATAGGCATGGCTACCAACAGATGAGGAAAGTGTGTGCAGAGTTGTCTTTACATGGGCGTATGCACATGCAAATCCTGCTGCATCTCAAAGTGGTGAGACTTACACCAGCACCTGGAGGCCAGAAAGGAAGTATTGGAACATATCCTTGGTTCCCCAGTCCCCAAACCTGGAGAGTACATTGGCTTACCCTAGCCCTGCCTGAATGCTGCACATGAGCACGAAACAAGGAACCAGAGCAGAGAGGGACCAGGACACAGGCTTGTGATTCCCAGCTGGCTGGAAGTGTGCAATTAGACCCCACCAGCCAACACAGAGCCATGTTTTGTGTCCCTCTGGTGAGGCACTAACCAGCACATGGCCCTTGGGTGCCCCAGAGGAGGGCTGGGATAATCTGGCTGCTGCCTGGGTGCTGGATTGCCCTCTCCTGGGCAGAAACAGAAGGACTCACGCAAGTCAAGGACTCGCACTGACAGCTCAGGAGGAAAATTTCCCTTCATTTCAGGGGAAAGCGTGGGGTCTGGTAGAGCAGAAGGGTGCAACACCTCTGTGATACCTGTAGCACCTCCGAGTAGCCAAGTTGTACTACGGTAGAAGGACCAAAAACCAATAGCAGAAACTTCCAGGACAAAAGCAGGGAGCAAGAAAGGATGAACCAGAGCCATTTGTTCATCTGTCCATGCTGGAGCACCTGGCACAGGGGGTCCTGCCCAGCCTGCACCAGGAGGGCTCCTGCGCTGCCACTGCCCCAGCATGCCCCTGGAACACAGCCCTGCCAAAGGCACAGCCCTCGCCTTGCCAGGCTAGCAATCAAAGCAGCTCTGAAGGCGGCACTATTTTTAATAACTGCTTAGTAATAATAACAACACTAATAATAATGTAGAAAAGTGATACAGCTGAAAATAGGTGTAATTGCTGTATTTATCCCTAGTATGTGTTGACTTTTCAGTCTCTGTCAAAAATCAGGTTTACCAGGATACATTTAAGGTGGTTTGTAGCTGTTGAAAGACAGTAAAGGAGAGACTGATCTAAAGACACATAGCATATGAAGAGATAAAACCTACAAGTACTTGAATATTGAGAATGCTCAAGTAAACAAGATGTGGTGTTTTTTAAAAACTAACAATACTACATTTTCAAACTATCCTTTGTTTATACAAAAGCCAAATAGTACTGAAGACTTCTCATGGAGTGGCCTTAGGTAAAAGAACAAAACTGTTTTCCTGTGAATGCTCAAGAGTGACTAGATGAAATATGCTTATCAAAAGCTGGGATGCACAATGAAGAACCACCAGCAATACCCAACCATCTGTAACACATACTCAACTGCAAAGCTCAAACACAGATTTTGACAGGCTTCAGGTTACTTCCATTCATTTCTACAGCTATAGAATAGAGTGTACCACATGCTTGCAATTTATAGCAGAAGTAGAACCTGTAATTTATTTGCATTAAATATTAGTACATTGAAATAAAAATATATTCCAGAAAACAGTTTCCTTTCAAAGATAATTTGTGGACAGGAAACAAAATAAATCTGTTCAATCCATTGTTAAAAAAAATTAATGACCTCAGTGTACACTTCCAGACTTTTTCCATGTATATCACCTTTTATTTTTGTTGCGATAATTTTAATTTTCTGTCATTAATGAATGACATTATTATTTTTATCAGAAGGGTTTTTTAAAAATCCATAAGTAGGAGCCGCCAAAACTACTGTATTTCAGTAGTGGCAGAAAGGGTTCACATCTTTTAAATGCTTCAGGCTTTTTGCACACTCAAGCCTACCTTGCATAAATTACATATAATTATAATTCAATACAAATGAAAATTCTAAGAATTCTCTTCCCCTATTTAATCCTAGTAAATTAGAGTTACAGCTCCAGCACTCACTAGTGATGCTAGAAGAACTTCTAAATTGATGATAACATGGAAGGGATTTTGAATGTTTTTGAGTTCTTCAGTGTACACAACGTCTTTGTCCTCAATCAAAATGCATATTTAATTTTGTCTGGAAACTTTATGAATGCTCAGCTGAAAGCAGTCTTTGAACAGCGTGCCCATGCCTGACTGAGCAGTCTGTCTGCTTTACTCATCCATTACCTGCACAGTACCTGAAGAAGGCAGAGCAGGGGAAGCAAATGTGGAACAAACTTGAAGTGGTGAAAATCTTGCCTTGATGTTACATTGATTAGCCTTTTAAACCCACCAAGATAGAGCAGACAAACTGACTTACCATCTCTCTGATTAAGCTGTGGTAAGCCAATGCTGTGTGTTTTAAGTGTCTTCCCTTTGTGACATTGCAGTGGGATACGGGTCTGTAGGTGCTCCCAGCTGCAGTCCAGCTCCTCAGCTCACAGGAGACTCTTGCTTTAAGCCTAAGTGGCTTCATTTTGCTCCTCACCTCACTGTCAGTGTAGCACCTGAGTGGACAGTGGATTTGGGCAACCTCCACCTACCCAGCATCACACCTGGGCACTGTAACTGCAAAGTACTTTGTGACCATGTGAGGAGGACTACTGTTAAGGGAAATAGATGCTGGGAGGAGAGTATGAGGTATAAAGTGTGATATATGGATCTCTTGACCTCCAGGGAAGCTTCTCTAGGCTACAACAGCTTCAGGAGACCAAGGAGTATCTGTCCATTGACAGCATCTTCCAGTCTAAGTAAAACAGCAAAGAGATTTAATATACCTTGGTTTTGTTGAATCTCTGAGGACACAATGAAGGCTGCTTTCGAAAATCCAGCAGCTTCAAGAACACTTATGTCTTGTTTTGTTCCATCTCCCCTTTTCCTCCATACTGCACATCCCTGCCCATAGTCCCTTTTGGAGCAGAATTCCTTTACCATGAATCATACCTGCCTTGGTAGCTTCCCACTCTTACATATTGGGTTTCCCCTCCCCCACCCCTGCATGGGGCTACATGCTGCTGGAGTGTGTGGGGTGGATTATCACTGGAGACTGGTGCTGGGAAGGACTGTTTGAAACAACTGAGATTCTCTACTCAAAGTGCTCAGCAAGTTTTGCTGGGAGTGTTTTCCCTGAAGAAAGTATGAAGAAGCAATGCTGAGGATGGTGAATCTAGAGCAGCCAAACAGGGGAAAGAAAGGGATGAAATTCCTGTAATTTGCCTTTTGCAGCCATCTCCCAGTGGCTGAGGGAGAAAACAGCCTTCAGCAGCAGAGAAGACAGTGCTGCGGTTTATAGCATTGGCAGACAGCCAAAAAAAAATCTCCAAAGAAGTGGGGGAGGCTGCAGGAGCAGACTATGGTCTGGCAGACTGACCCTCCAGCAAAAAATCAGACAGGTCAGGAGGGAGGAAAGGGCTTGAAGCATCTGAGCTCCTTTCTGATATTCTAGTTTCCCTTACAGACAAGCTAAATAGGAATTAAATGCAGGTGGCACAGTCACTCAGCTTTAATGTATTAGGCAATGTTTTATTTCAAATTTCTTTAGTCTCAATCCAAAACAAAAATTATGATAACTACCCTTTAATCTGGCAAGAAATAAACAACACTAGGCTTCAACACACTCTTTAAGCATCCCTTCCTCCCTAACCTGGGTTTTAGAACAGATATGTGAATATGAAAAAGAGATTCTCACTTTGGATAGTGATTCATCAGAGATGTTCATTTTGGCTGGCTTTTCCTACCTGGAAAATCTTAGTATTCCTTCTACATAACCAACTCCACCATACCGATTTACCAGTTACACACCTCACCCACTGCTCAACTTTCAGCATATTTCAATTAGTTGAAAGATTACTTTTTAAAGGACTCAACTGGGAGCACTCAGCTTCGGAGGCATTTCAGTTGAGTGCTAATTAGCAACTAGCTGACTGTCAACTTTTCTTCTTCGAAGAAAGGGTAGGGTTGGTGATTCCCTTCTGAATTACCTGGCAATCAAATACATGTTGAAATTTATTCATTAGCTTATAATAATCATCCCTAGCTTATTTGGCAGTTTTCATCTTCAAAGCATTTTATAAACATTCATAGAGTCACTGTAGTGATTAACACTATGAGAAAACTGTGCAACCTCTTGCATATAGGTCTCTGTCCCTATTTTACAGGTGTGGAAGGTAAGGGAGGGGTGAATGACTGAGGAAGTCAATGGTAGAAATGTAGGAATACCTCAGGAAACTATGACTTATGGATTTGCATTTGGATCTTCACAGAAGAGATATCCATACTAAGCAGAAAAAATCAGGGATGGACAGGAGAACTGGTGTGAAAGGGGATGATGCACAGAGAAATTCTGTGCCTGGTACCAAGGTGGGATTAATATAAGAGCAATCTGGAACTTGTAACTATGTCTTTACCATGTAACTGAAACAAGGTCCCACCAAAACCAGGATTGCATTCACCATGTTGTTTTGAACCTACTGCTATACTTTACTACGAAACATGCAGTGCCACTCTGTTTTATTTATTTAGCTATTTTAACACAAAGTCCCAACCAATTGCATAAAGAAATGTATATTTAAAAATATTATTTACTACACAGATTCTTTTTAAGTCTTTTATTTCATGTTTATCATTCACACTTCATTTTTTTGTAAAGATTTGATCATAAGCATTTTGATCTTAATTTGATCTTAGACCTTCGAGCTTGCAAAACACAGCCCAAACTTGCCAGGAAATGAAAGCATGCAGGATATGATCCATTGAGATTCTGGATATCACTGTTTCAGGTACTCTTTCCACTGCTTTAGACTGTACATTCAATACATGAAAGATGCAATCAGTTACCTGTATGCATATTTTGTAGACACAACATAATTTTTTTTTAATTTGGTCTTTAAAATTTAAGTACATATTATCATTTCAGGTTTTATAATTTGAAATGTTACCATGCTCTGCAGTGCTTGAATTTTGCCAAGGCCTTGTACAGCTGCATAAATGTGAGTGAAGTAACCAGGAGTTTTGCTTGGAAAATCTGATTATGCTGCAAGAGCAAAATGTTCCAGCTCATGAGGACGAAAGACTGGCGGTGCCCCTCCTTTAAGTGAATAATGAGTTTGCACAGAAAAATAGAGGCTAAGGAAAATATATACTAAATACATCTTCATCTACTCTATCTCATAGATTCTGTTCTTCTGACTTCTCATACCTTCCTGGTATGCTACTAAGTGCCCTATATGCAAACAATGACAATAAAAATATGAACATTTATCTGATTCAGTATTTAAAACAGACCAGATGCATTTTAAACAAGTCTGGCATGCACATATTGCAGAGAGCATGGAAAGATATTGACATCTCTAGAGAAGCAGCAGATCTGAGCTCCCCCTGACTTGAAACTTGGCCCACATCAGGAGCTACTGTCTCTCCTGGAGACAGGACGCCACCAGCCAGCTGCTCAGTGGCAGCACTGCATCTCCCAGCTTCAACCCTCATTCCTAGCTTCGATTTCTGATTCTAAGAGTGCATTCTGCTCTCTGCTGTCTGCTGTCTTCTCAGTATCATCCCATTGCATGTATTCTCCATGGTGGATTTTACAGTGGTGCACTAAAATCCCACAATTTTAACAAAAACACAATATTTTATGCATGAAGTACAACAACTTGTGGAATTCTAGTGCATTTTCCCATTTATTTTTGCTTCTGGAGTTTGAACTTTGAAAGCTATTGATTAGAAAGTTTGGTTCTAATTAGAGAAACAGAAAAAACCTTCAGAAAACTTTATTTTTACTTGACACCCAGGGAACTGGCACAACACTCTGTAGCATGCCTTCTTCAGTGCAAGTATCTTAGTAAATATTGCCTTGATTTCAACATCTGGTTCACATTAAATAAAACTAGAGATGTGAATCCAATAAAGATAGAAATTTTGGAGGGAAGATAAAAGCCTTTATATTAACCAGCAAGATGTTTGTGTTAATTTGCAAAAGCCAAAAAAGCAAGTACAATTATCACAGGACCTGCATGTCTCATCTAGAAAGGGTAGCACAACAGTGCCCATTATTTTAAAAACAACTTTGTAATTGTTTTAACAACATCCTTAACGTGATATGAAATTCTGGACTGCATTCAGGCATTAGGACTCTAAGTTACAATATTTTAGTTTTTTACATTTCTAAACTGGTCATCTTAAGATTTGAGGAGAAGAATAAATTAAAGTGTGTGAGAAGGGACATTTAGTCAGCTAAAGAATTATGAACATAATGAGGACAATTACAGGGCATTTGCACATTAAAAGCATGAGCACTGAAAATTTTGTAAGTCTTCATACAACCTTTGTATTTCACGTATATACATACATTATAATCACACTCTAGTTAGTAATATGCATTGCATAATCAAAACCAAGGTGGTGTTCACACAGCTGAAGTTAGGTCTGCTCTGAAACACGCCACTGAAAAAAACAAGATATTTAAACCATTTCACATTTTGATGAATAGAGTTTCAATTTTCTGAACTTCTTTGCATTATGGACCAGACCGAAGAGTTTGCCAGACACAGCTAAGCTCACTGAGGGTATTTTAGTGAATTTAAAAAACAGTGGGATGGGGGTGCCAGGATGAGCACATGGCCAGTGTGTGTAGTCAAGTTCATGGAAGGATATACCCATGAGTTGAGTCTTTGCTGCTAATATTTCCTTTGCAAGGTAGATGGCAGGTAATTTGTATATGATCTTCAGTCACACTTCCATTTGCTCAGGATTCTCTATACAGTTTTAGGGAGCACATCTGATGGCAAATAAGTCAAAAGCAATAATAGTTGTTTTAAGTATTCATTACTTAAGCTTTGTTTTTATTAACTTGTACAGGGGAAATATTTTAAAATATAGTCCCACTGTTGATAACTTGTCCAGACTAATTTCTGTATGTTTACTGCTTTTACCTTATCCACTCTTCCCAGGTCTTAGTTGTAAATATATGAACTTTGGCAAAATTTTAAGCCTTTGACACTTTGGAAATCCTGAAATTCAAATTCAAATTCAAATTAATGTCCTTGATTCAAAACAATCAAATTAAGTCACTGGGAAAATCTTTAGGGGAAAAGCAGGCTTTTATGTAGACAGAGATTACACTTGTCATAGTCTCAGTGAGGCAATGAGGCTGTAACATAAAAGGGAGAGACCCCTCTGCCTCATCTTCCAAAATTTTTATTTATATATATATCGGGTTGTCATGCATCTCCCACGACCATTCTTCAAAGAAGCTGCTCATTATGATAAAGAGTTAAGAGGTGAGACTGAGAGGGGAGACTGGAATAGTGAGCTGACTGTATTAGCAGCCTTGAATTTTTACAGGGTACGATGGTGCTAAATGAAGTTTAACAACCAAAAATTTAAGTTAATGGTGTTTCTTGTAAGAAACTGGCATATATCATGCACAGAGCTTGACATAATTTATTGCTAATTTCAGAATGGCATTTCTGTAGGCATATTGTGTGCAAATCCTGTTCCTACACATACCATAAGAGCATATGATCAGTGGAACCCAGTGGTGTGTATCAAGGCAGACACACTCTCCAGTGTGTTTGTGACACTGATTGCCCAGCTGTTCAAACTGATGTCTCTCAAGTGACACATGTCAGTTCACGAAGCCAGGTCTTCTTCTGCCGGCAGTGGGGTAAGGGGCAGGCAGCACAGCCCATTGTTCTCCCAACACACAGATAGAGCATTACTGCAAGGCTCACCCATGGCATCCTATCCTGCCTTGTAGACATAATCCTCATCATACATTGGTTAATGCTCATTCAGCAATGCACCACAGCAATGCACAGGTTTTTCACAAAGGCTGGAAAGTAGAGTTCAGTTCAGCCAAAGGCACAGAAACAAAAATGCTTATTTTGGTAAATCTTAAGGAAGTTTCTTCTTTTTCATCATCATCCTGTGCTGGGTGGAGTATCATCATTCTCCCCATACAAACTCAACATTTTCTTTTTCATCTATTCTGTTTAATTCCCAGTTTTCATTTCTCTCTAACAGTCCATTCCTTAGAACTTATCCTGAACCAGAATACTTCTATTTCCCCTTCAATTTCAGATATTTCTGAAACACCTACTAACTCTTCCCCCTGCCACTCTTTTTAGACCTCTCCTCCTACCCAACATCTACTCTGTTTCAACACTATTCCTCCATCCCTCATCAACATTTACTCATCTTTCTTCATCCCCTTGACAGGTCTCAGCACTTCTGGCAAAAAGCTGGGGGAAGCTGCAGCACACAAACCTTGTTTGGTCACAGCAGCCCAATGATGTATTGTGCGTCATCAGTCCCACAGAAACCCTGAAGGACATAAATATGGTAATGGCAGCCAGCCCAGAAGAAGCTATCAGATCTGCTGGTATTCTGCCAGGGTTTTGTGGGAGATCAGGAAAGGTAAGGGGGAGTACATGAGAAAACAGAGATAAGAAACTTGGAATTATATGGAAATCAGTGCAAAAGGGAGAAAAAAGTTGGCCTTTATGGTTTTGTTTAGTTTTCTGAAAAGGCAGTGATTTAAGATGGAATATTTTTATTTTCTAGGAAAGCATAGTGCTGCAGGTTAAAGTTTGATACCAGGTTCACTGTCAATGTGAAGATATACTGAAAGTTTACTCTACTGCTATTGTGATCAATCATCTGAATTTAGGTCACAGTTCCTTGAAATATGTATTCAAGACTTGGATGTAGCCAGAGGAAAAAGAGGAGGCAATGGTGTTCACAACAGGATGTATGTGGTTTGTGGTCATCTCCATTTAACACAGAGTTATGCCCTTTCAGGTGTTCAACCAGCTCCAGCTCAGCTCTTAAGCCAAGCAGGTTACAGGCTTCTGTTTCTCCTGAATACAAAAGCTTAGTGGTGTTGAGGGGAATGTGTCCTACCTTGTATATTGTTCCTGCATGAGAATTGATCCTAATTTTAGAACCCTTTAATAATTCACAAATAACAATGACTTAATCTTACAACAATGATTGAAGATCTTACATTCAAAAAGTTCATTTAACATTATTGCCCAAACTAATGTAGAGACACACAAGCAGACAGCTCAGATGAGTTTCAGACAAACACCAAAAGTTTTGAATTGTGATTTGAGTTTAAAATCTTGCCTTTGCGTATTTCCTATTCTTGGTGAAAACTGGACAAAGAAATACCAAAATAAAATGGGAACACTTACGTCAAGTAATTAAAACCACATGAGATCACATAGTTAAAAAAAATACACAACATAAGAAAGTTTTCTGTTGGCTGTTGCAAGGCATCAGTTACTTCTGATTCCAGGTACATGTCTCAGCTGTCCTAAGTCCACTTTAAGATTCAGGTTTCTAAGGGATGTTTCTTATGGCCAGGCTGCAAGTTCCTGCTTCATCTGCACGAGATCAAATGCCAGATGATTGCAAAGTAGGAGAGGACAGGCCCCAATGTGGTTTCAGTTTGCTCTGATCCAGGCTAGCTGATGCACAGTACAGGATGCATTCTTCTGGTCAGCTTAGATGCACTGATACAACTACCCTTTTTTACAGGTAATCATTAATTTTACATCGTCAGTCACTCATTTTCACAATTCTTTTATTTTCCCTTTTTTTTTTTTTTAATTTTCTGCAGCAAATGGTGTGTGTATTTTACAGAAAGCAGTTGGTATTTTAACTACTCATAATTCAGTTTTGACGGTTATGAACCTTTAATAAATCACATCTTTTTGAGCAATGTTCAAATTCAGGCATTCAACCCCATGTTATTGAAAGTAAGTCCCCATTACACTGTGCAGTATATTCCAGGTAAATGTACTATGTATTGCCTGATTGACTTTAGCCAGAAACCTGGTGTCCTTATCTCATCCAGCCATCATTATTCCTTGGACATTGAGTCCTGCTGGTTCTTCTATGTTCTATATTTGACTCTGCAACTTCTCCTGAGGGAAGGGCAGAGCAATGTCCTCTTAAATATTTAGCTATAACCTAGTGTTTATGGCATGCTCCTAGGAGCTGTGAACCCCCTAAGCAGAAGAGGGAAAAAAAGTTAGGTTTCCCACTTTGTAACCCAGAGCAATTGAATAAACAACGGGTGGAGGCAGCACCGCTCCATATTTATGTGGAGACAGAGAGACAGTGAAACACATACCAAGAGAGTGTTGAATGTAATAATCAAAACCAACAGTGGCATACAATAGACCACCCAAAACACAGCTGTAACAGTTTTTCAGCTCTGCCATGGAAACAGTGAATAGAAACAACAAGTAGAA